AAAGGTAATCAAAACCATCACTTACTGGGTTTCCAAAAAATACTTCCGTTAATCTGATGCCTGAGACTTCTAGTTCATAACTCATTTTCTTAACCACACCATACTTTATTTTGGTATTTAATTTGAGTTTAAATAGAGACAAATGCTAGGTGAAAAGCAAAGTTGCCCAACAAACCATGGTTTGGGAGTCCCTCTGCACAGGACTTATTATAGTTTGGCTTCTTCATGACCCAGAATCAATAAAGAAACTATTATTGTATCCAAAGTATTTGGGAATCTGGATGTCATCAATGCAAACATCAATGGAATACAAAATCAGGCTGTACGTTAGGACAGGGCAAGCAGCTGAGAATTGAGGCACACGATAAACACTGTATCATTTTGTTTTAATGTTTTTATCCTCAGCTTTCTGCCCTTACTGTTGGTCCAGACTCTGACTCGGCCATTAGGAACAGCAGAACCTCTCCTGTGAGCAAGCAACAAGCTTATTGCAGCCTTTGTTTAAAGACATGGTATGAAATATACCGTATTTTTTGCTCTATAAGACTCACTTTTTCCCTCCTAAAAAGTAAGGGGAAATGTGTGTGCGCCTTATGGAGCGAATGCAGGCTGCACAGCTATCACAGAAATCAGAACAGCAAGAAGGATTGCTGCTTTCACTGCGCAGCGATCCCTCTTGCTGTTCTGGTTTATGAGATTCAGAATATTTTTTCCCCTGTTTTCCTTCTCCAAAAACTAGGTGCGTCTTGTGGTCTGGTGCGTCTTATAGAGCGAAAAATGTGGTAAGTGGCAACCATTCAAATTAATGACAAGCTTTTAGCTACCTTAGAATATAAATGAATGTTGTGCTGCTAATAGGGTTTGAAATGTGCTACATATATGATAACCTGAGGACATTTTACTCTGTCCTTTTCATTAATATACAAACACCCAGAGCATCACTGTCTCCTTACTGTCTCCAAGAGATCTCAGGCAGAGTACCAAATACCTGCTTCGTTTTGTCATCAACATAGAGAAGGAACAGCTTGTCATATGCCCCCTGCTCTATCACATTTAGGGTTTATTATTATTATTATTATTATTATTATTATTATTATTCAAACAGAAAGGACTTGGGCTGCTTTTGTAATATCTGCATATATTTGCAAACAAGATCGGCGTTATGGTGATAGGTGGTTCTCAGATCCAATCATTGAGTTTGCTGCTTATTGCTATCCACCTGAAAGAGAAGGTGTGTCATCTGGGTGCACTCCTTAATCCAGCATTATTGTCACTAGAGGCACAGGTGGCCTCAGTGCTATTTTCCAGCTATGGCTGGTTTGCCAGCTATGGCTGTTCCTGGAAAGAGAGAGAGAGCGAAACTTGGCTACAGTGACCCATGTTCTGGCAATGTCCCATTTGGATTGCTGCAGTGCACTTTATGTGGGGTAGTCCTTAACATCATTCTTAGAGCTACAATTAGTGCAGAATGCAGCTCCTGTGTGTTGTTTGGGACAGCGGGCAGAGATCACACAACACTGATCCTGAAACATTTTAATTAACTGCTAATGTGCTGCCAGGCTGAATTAAAGGTGTTGGGGTTGACCTATATAAAGCCTCAAACAACTCAAGACTCAAGAATCTGAGGAACCACTCCTCCCTGTTATCAGCTTGCCTAGATTCTTAGATCCAGGGGTGAGGCCATCCTTCTGGTCCCACTGTTGGGGGAGATGCGTCATGTAACAACACAAGGCAGGATCTTCACTGTGGTGGCACCTTCTACTGGAAGCATGACAGGTGCTGATGCTTTGGCATCTCAGCACCAGATAAACACTTACCTGTTTTTGCAAGGTGCTATTAAATCACCTTGCCAACAAAGGTCCGTATAGTTAAAGCTATGGTTTTCCCAGTAGTGATGTATGGAAGTGAGAGCTGGACCATAAAGAAGGCTGATCGCCAAAGAATTGATGCTTTTGAATTATGGTGCTGGAGGAGACTCTTGAGAGTGCATGGACTGCAAGAAGATCAAACCTCTCCATTCTTAAGGAAATCAGCCCTGAGTGCTCACTGGAAGGACAGATCCTGAAGCTGAGGCTCCAATACTTTGGCCACCTCATGAGAAGAGAAGACTCCCTGGAAAAGACCCTGATGTTGGGAAAGATTGAGGGCACAAGGAGAAGGGGATGACAGAGGACGAGATGGTTGGAGAGTGTTCTCGAAGCTACCAGCATGAGTTTGACCAAGCTATGGGAGGCAGTGGAAGACAGGAGTGCCTGGCGTGCTCTGGTCCATGGGGTCACGAAGAGTTGGACACGACTAAACAACAATTATTATTAGTCTGCTGTTGCTGTGGAGAGTCATGAATGGCTCCATGAGAGTTTATAAATGATGTTATGAAGCATTGTACAAAAAAATAACAGCATCATTTTATTTAAGTCCACTAAGAATCCAAACTGAATGCAGACTTTCCGCTGCCATTTCCGCCACCCCCCCTGCCCCCCAATGATCCTTAAAAATGTGACATATGGCTTTGAATTGTCCTCTGTTGGTAACAAAGCTTTACTAAACGTCCGCAATCTGTTTTAAAAGCAACTTGCTGAAGACAAACAGAGACAAACTGCTTTTGCTGAATTTTTAATTTTGCACATGTTGCATATTATAATGTTAGGAGGGAAAGCCGGGGGAAGAGAAGGAAATCTCAGAGGCTGAAAATATATATTGCATGAATATATACACACAGAGCAAAGTACATTTCCAAATGTTGGTTCATTAAATAAAACTTACAAGAGCACTTAAAATTTCTTCATACACATCTGCTTTCTTTGGAACACATACAGAAAAGAGTTTCTACTAAATCTTACAAAGATCACAGCCTTGACCCTTCACCGTATTAGGAAAGTGGTGAAGAAAATGTATTCATGGAAAATGAATTAAAACCAAGAACTAAAAAGTACCAGTAGACAAACCAATACCTTGACTACCTGAGTAGGGGGTAGCTGAAGCCCTACATCAACATCATTTTGAAGTCTTATGTAAGATGTACTAAAGTCCCATTTGCACCTTCTTAATCATGCAAGCAGCTCTAAATGACACGTGTGCAGCAGACCACAGACCTTCAGCCCCAATTCATGGAGAGTAATAGAGCCAAGCTGACAGAGTTGTAAGAAAGGGGGTGAAGCCACTCAGCCCAGTCTCATTCCACCCCTCATGCAATTCTTATCAAATGCGTAGGCACATGTAAATAGGGCTCAGAGGACTAGCTTTTCCTCCAGTTCTCCAAAATAAAAAGAGTTCTTCTCTAATACATTTCCAGTGATACAATGATTATTTCCTATCCTCTTCCAAGTGATGCTTCATGGTCTTACTATAAATTAAAATTTCCATGGAAAATAACGAAAGCAATTACAGTGGTACCTTGGTTCTCAAACATCTTGGTACTCAAACACTTTGGTTCTCAAACATAGAAAACCCAGAAGTGTTCTGGTTTTCGAATGTTTTTCAGAAGCTGAACGTTCGATGTAGTTGTCGCCTATTGTTTCTGGGGCACCTGCACCAATCAGAAGCTGTGCCTTGGTTTTCAAACATTTCAAAAGTCAAGCGGACTTCCAGAACAGATTAAGTTTGGTTCCTTTTGTTTTTGCTATTTATTTTGCGTTTTTGTTTTTGAGGCTTTTTCAGTTAATTTGTTTTTGTGACTGTGTGGAACACAGTTCAGCTACTGATTGGTTGGTTGGTTGATTGATTGATTGATTGATTGATTGACTGTGTGACTGTAGAAATGGGTAAAAGCCCCCCATCCAAACAATGACCATCATCAGTGCAGGTAAGGGGGGGGGAAATAATTTTATTTTTTATAATCTACAATACTGTCTTATTTATTTTATAGTATAGTACATTGATTATTGCTTTCCTTTTATGGATCAATGGTCTCGTTAGATAGTAAAATTCATATTAAATTGCTGTTTTACGGGTTGTTTTTAAGAGTCTGGAATGGATTGGTCCATTTTGCATTACTTTCTATGGGAAAGCGCACCTTGGTTTTGGACCACTTTGGTTTTGAAACAGACTTCCAGAACGGATTAAGTTCGAGAACCAAGGTACCACTGTACAGTTCCAAATCCTTCTCCTGTAGCCAATCAAGAGTAGTAAATTTGGCTGTCTGGCAAGTCAGTGGAGCTAACGAGGAAGATCACAAACGCACAAGCCTATTACTACCACATCCAAGTGGTGCAATTTGGTTCTTTCTGATCTCATAGCAGACAGTGGTAAAGCATGACAGGGCATGTACATCTGATTTTCAGAACTGTGATGATAATCTGATAACAGAAACTGTGGTTAAGTTCCTGTGTTTCTACTCATTGACTGTCCATTAAGGATTTGGTTTCTAGTCTGATACAGCGAATGTTTGTACAACAAAACAGCAAACCTTAAATAACACAACCTTGGCAGAAGGGGGGGGATGGCTTTCATACAATTAACATACAATATGAAATTCTTATTGGCAAGGACATGGACGGAATTCAACGTTATCATCACACATGGCTTCCCATCATAAAAGGGAGACTAAGATAAAAAGGCGCTTCATGGACATACATAATTCCCTTCCATTTGCTAGTGAAAGTAAGGAGGGTGGTTACGTCAAGCTACCATGTTTAGCTGACTAATCAGTTTGATTAAGAAGGTGCCCCTGAGCAATTAGGGTGGTAGGTTTTTTAATAAACATATTTATCCTGCCATTCGCCCTGAGGAGCTCACACCCAGCATTCAAAGGGAGCAGCAGAGAGTAAAAAGTATGTTAAGAATTGAACCAGCCAGAAAGGGAAACAGAAGGCAAGTCGGCATTCATTTTCTCCCTAACACACACACATTCTCTTCCAAAAAGGGATGAAAATCCACATTGTCCACAATCTTACTTTATGTGAATATGAGCAACAGTTTAAAATCCTAGTTGCAGAAGAACTAAATAATGCTTGGCATTGTTCCATCTCCTCCACCCAGACCCCCAAATAAGACTTTTTCCCCTTCAGTACTAATGTATGCAGATTTGGGTCAACTGAAAATAATACAACCAAGGGATTTTTTGGTTTTTAATTGGGTGACAGCCCTGGCTGGTGTTAAAGAAGCCTTCATCAACCTGGTGCCCTTCAGGGGGTTTGGAGAACTCCCACCAGTCCCAGCCGGCATACAAGGTTGTACAGTATTAGGGCACAGTTGCATTGCAAAGCTAAACAGGCTCAGCTGGCAGTTTAGGACACCCCAGCCCCTATTATTGACTCTAATGAGGCTATATTACTATCCTCTTTCGACTACAATTTTCACTTTGGACTACAATTTTCAGATCTAAAAAGGAAACACCCATAATTGCTGCCCATTTTGTAGCGCCTAATTCAGGTGTCCTGGCTGTTTCTCCAAGTTGTCTAGAAAAGATGAAATTTCCAGGCTTGATTTCCAATAGTTTTTCATGAGAACTATGCTTCCTTAAATTAAATCTGTTTACCTTTTCTGCTTCAGTATCTATCTGCCCCTCCTCCTTTCTATTTCTCTGCTTAAGGTCATACAGTTGTAGCCATATGAAGTTAGCTGAACTTAGGCTCTACAAAACAGAAGTCATTAACTTTTTTTAATGGGACCCAAGTTCAACTTACTTAGTTAAAGCCTCCTGAAAGCTTGTTTCTTTTAAAAATGGCAAGAGAAAAATAAACTTGACTACATGTCTGTCCATTGTACTTTGAACCAGATATTGCATTGCTGATTAAAGAGGACTGCATAAGACAGAGGGATCCTTTAGCAGAATTCTAAGGAATTCTTTGCCAAGATGGCAATCACCTTTCAAAACTAGATGGTCCAACAACTTCAGATTGTTGTGGAGTGAATTTGCTTAGCTGAAATACTATGTACTATAGCAGCCGTTCCCAACTTTCAGTCTCCAGATGTTGCTGCACTACAAATCTCATTATCCCTGACCACTGGATTTGCTGACTGGGAGTTGGAGTCCAACAACCCAAGCTGGGAAAGGCTATACTATAGTACACGCTCAAATGCATATTTGTTTTGTGTGTGAATGTAATGTGCACACACAGTATATACCATGAAACATACACACCTTGCCTTGAAGAATCATATTTATTTACATTTGTACTCTACCTCTAAAGTACTCAATACAGAACAACATGAGGCCACAACCAGATAGTCAGCCCAAAGCTAAAGACTGTGGTGTATATAAGCATAATATTTCAAGAAAGTGTTGCTATATGTTTGTTATGCAACATCATTTTTCACCACAATTCCTCTTACGCTGCCTTGTAATCCAGCACTAGATAAAGTGGTTATCCCACTATTTCGACCTCATCCATTGTTTTCCAGATTATGCAGCTCCTTCAGTCACAATCTAGCTATGGGCTTGTCTTATAGAAGACTAGAATTCATTATTGGGGGAAGTAGGCCTGTTCATCTTAAAGCTTGCAGCCATTAGCTAAGTTTTTATATAGGACTTGCTCAAGGTCTCTGTACTGTTTTTACAACTCCTCACTAACTCAGTGAAATAATGTAATCACCTGAACAAATTGCTGGTGCTGTGTATGTTTGTGCATGTGTTTAAGTGTACATCTAACCCTCTAATTTTCACCTGAAATTATAGTTTGCATCAATGATGGCCAACCTTTTTGGCAAGTGCACCACAAGTTGCCAGAAGTGAAGCCAAAGGATGCACAGCACTCTAGTGCCACTGCAATACAATGCTTGGGGCAGAGTGTGTAGGGGGGTGTTGTTATTATACCAGGTCAACTGGATCCTGTTGCATACCACAAATCTCCCCTACACTTGCCACTTCTCGCACCAGTGCAACATATGTTTTGCAAAACGCCTGACAATAATTCACACCCAGTCCTAATTAGCGGCTCAGGTAGAGCGATTTACTTGGCATATTGTGCCAGTGCTATGTACCTGCAACAGCTGCTTCAGATCATTCTTTCTGATGCTGTACCAAGGCTGATACAACTCGTTGTTGGTCCAGTTTTGATTGGGCGTTTAGCAAACGTATATTAACAATATCCCATTTCAGTTGTACTTCATTTCCACTACCTTCCCCTTTTCAGGTATATAAATTTTTTACAGGATATCTTTTTAGTAACACTGAAATCTGCCCCTGGGAAGTGAAAACTCAATAATATCCAAAGATCTCTTACAACGGGGTTGCTTTGTTCACCTGTGTTCCCTCACTTAACTGCAGGACTGCTCCATGAGCTGCAAAATTAAAGTTGCTCAAAAATGGGCACATATCCAGACTCTGGAAAATACTGTAGAACCAAACAGAGGTGGGTCATTTTGAAGAACCTTTGAAACTATGTTTAGAACCCCTGCCTCTTTTCCTTAAAAAAAGAAAATAGCCAGAGCTGAACTGAAAACACAACAACAGACACCTATCCCACTGCGGAACGGCAACTTGCAAACAACACTGTGTCCCATGAAACTGTAGGCACTTTTTGCAGAAGTTGGCAAAGAGAAGGAGAATTGCTTGGGAAAGCATTGGCACCAGAGGTCAGCCTTCATGTCTTCTCCATCACATACAAGATGCAGGTCTTCACAGCCAATAGGGTGAAAAGCTTTAGGTTGTTGGCGGGTCATGTTTCTTTTTCTTGCCACGGCACGATTTGCAGACACAACAGATGATGCACGGTGAGGCTAGGAGCAGCAAGGGAGATGTTACCAGGGCTATGATACCCAGGCCCACAAGGATCCCAACAACCTGAAAAAAGCAGGAGGAGAAATGTGATAAGGAACGGGAAAGCTGTGTATGAGCAGATGGAAAACATCAAATCCTGATATAGACTCAAGTTTGGGTCACCCGCATTACCTGCGTTCTGTTCCACATAACTGAGGCACGGGAATGACCCAGTTTGTTTCGGCAAGGGCCTTTGTCATAATGCCTTAGGAAGATATCGTTCTGAAAGCGGAAAGAAAAGAGTGTGTTTAGTAGTTGGGCCTGCCTTGAAATAGGTGCCCAGGTGGCAACGCAGCAGCGCGAAGTCTGGTGGGTATTTCTGGCCTGCCAAGACTTTTCTTCCAGCAGTACCCTGCTACAAATGGGAATTTCTCAAGCGTGATTGCCACAGAAAATTTGACACCTCTTGCTCTTCTACAAAATGTATGCTTTACAGAAAGGGAGACATGTGAGCGGACATGGAAAAACACACCCACAAATGTGGAAAGTCAGCTAGTGAAACTGAACACAAAGGAGTCATCAGCATTTCCAAACCCACTTAATGTGATCAAATGTTGCAGTAAAGAGAGTTGCATCTATAACTTTGAGACATTCCAAAAAAAGAGGGAGGGGGAAACCAGATTTGTGATCATGAAAAATGAAAATTATGTGAAGGCCAGTAACATTACTCTCCAGAGAGAGAGAGAGAGAGAGAGAGAGAGAGAGAGAGAGAGAGAGAGTGTTAGTTATTGGTGAATGATTGCAAAATCAGGTATTTTCAGGATGAGGTGCTTGGGAAGAGAATTGCAACCTTTGAACCCAACTTTTATAGAGGGGCGGGGGCAGTAGCCAAACAGGAACAATCAGGGACAGATTAAGTGATGAATGGGGACTCCTCACTAAATCAGCAGCTTTTTCAATTGACAGTTTCTTCCAAAACATATCATGCAGTGTCTATTTATTGCTACTATAGGCAAGGCAAACATATTAGCACAATACCCCTTTGATGCCATTAAGAGACACTCCCTGTTGAGTGCACACGTTCTGTTTAAGCGACAGCTACTATGTGACAGAGGACAGCCTGCGGCTCAATAAGATAATGGGCAATGACAGCTCATCACCCAATAACTTAAACAGGTAGAATTTCTGGTGGTAGCTGCAATTACCACAGTAGCATAACAAGTGAATCTAACCTCAGTTAGAGAGAGATTTACTCAAGTAAAGATGGAGGATAGGATAAAACCAATTTGCTGGGGGAGCAAGAGAAGGGGAAGGGTATGGCCTTTGAGCCCCATCTGTAGAATTCGCATAGACATCTAAGTGGGCAACCTGAGAATCAGGACTGGGTGAATCTTTGATCTGATATAGCAGTGCTCTTCTAAAATTCTTAGTTGCCAATAAGGTGGTTCCCTCCCCTAGTTACAAGCCATTTTAAAGGAATTAGAGGGCAAAAACCTGGACAAGCCCACCCCAAAGCCGTTGGCACAGGTCACTTACATCCAGATTTTGCAGACAGTACCAGCAGAACGTGTGCTTGCAGTTCTTACACATCATTTGAGCACAGCCTTCATTCCTCTCAATGTGGATTCGGCAAACTGGGCACTGCTTAATTGGAGCTTCTGTGGTGGTTTTGATAAGTACTCTAGAAAAGTAGAGGGGGGAAATCCTGTGAAAGATGGTAGTTCAACAAAGGACAGTAATCTGAAGAGACCTGTCAGAAGTAAGCATGGACCAATGGTACCAAATAGTATGGGAAACAGCCTTACTAGAAAAATTAACCAATAAACTGAAACTGACATGGGGACAAATATGGCTCCCCTTTATCACACACACACAGCCCAACAAGACAATGACAAAAATCCACCAACAGCATACAAATCAATATGGCTAACCTGATCCAAAACACCCACCCACCCCACTCACACATGAAAACAAAGATCACCCTAGGCCAACCCCAACCTCTCTCACCACCAAAGGAACATAAGTGAACAGCAGGGAACCTGCACAACTGACGCTGACACCAAACCCTACATATAGTAAAATAGAAACATTGCCACCCAACCCCAACAACACCCATCTTTCCCCCCCCCTCCACCTCTTTCCCCCTTTTCTTCCTAATGTCTCAACAAATGAAACTGATTTGTAAAAATGTTATGGGGGGGAATATGAGAGAGAGACATTGCACACACTTTTGTAAATCAAGAAAATCTTTAATAATAACAACAACAACAACAACAACAACAACAACAACAACAACGGACAGTAATAGTTCCATGATTATTTCACTGTCATTCAGGTTGTGACGTCTGGGCAAGTAGCACATAGAGCATCCTTAATCCATGTAGCTACACATACATGTGCAACATTACCATGGCATCAGACATCAGTACACTTTGGGGGCAGCTAGCACTGTAACTAAGACACTGCACCTGGGTCAGAGCCACACAAAACATTTAAAGCACTCTTATCACTTTAACAGTCATGGATTCCCCCAAAGAATCTTGGGAACTGTAGTTTGTTAAGGGTGCTAGGAACAGCTGCTCTGTGAAGGGTAAACTACAGTTCCCAGGGTTCTTTGGCAGAAACCATGACTGTTTAAAGTGGCGCAAGAGTGCTTTCAAAGCACGGTGCAGGTATGTTCTGGCAATCTATTGAAAATGCTTTCCTACCCCTGACAACTGGCAATGAATTAATTCTACATCTACCAATTTCAACTAAAGGAAAGCTGAAATTATTGCAATTACGATATGGAAGATTTGCAGCACCTCAGCAAATCCTTCTCTTACCCTTGCTCATTTGGTGTCACAATAAGATGGTTTTCCAGGCATAGCTTCTCCACATGCCAAGGCTCTTTGCATGATGAACAGAACGTCAAATAGCAAGCCTGACATTTTACAGGCACGGGTAGTCCAGATTCACTTGGTTCAATTTGGCACACGGACTGACAGTCAGCAGAAGGACACCAGGTTCTCAGGGGATCCAAATGCACTTCTAAAAAATGTTTATTAGAAATCCAAAAACACAACATTTTAAATTATGTACTTCGTTTGCCATTTGTTGATTCACATTCAGCCTCCATTGTCACTGGCTTCAGAAACCAATTCACTGTACTGTGGTCAATAGTATCTGACAAACCTCTTTATAAACCACAAAATGTCAAATTCTGAAGGCTTTGGTGGGGGCATATAAAACCTTTCAGCATCACAGCCAATTTTAAAAATGAAAATATTCCTAAAGTGTGTTGTTTTTTTTAAAGCAGGGGGTTTGAGAGCATAGGGAGACAAAAAAATATTTTAGTATCATAGCAGCAGGCCTATAGGAGCAGCAAGGTTTTTTTTAAATATATATATATCAAATGGGTGTATGTGTTTTTATATAGAAAAAACATGAGGGGGCACCATCATAGTGGAGGATCCACTTTTCTTAACAAAGGCAAATTGGAGGAGTTCTTGGACAGCCACAAAAAAAACTTGAGGGGGGCTTAGGTGCAGCCAATGGGCTGTGAGCCATATCTGCGATAAAAGTATGAGGGCATCATAATTGATAACATTCACCAGGTATATTATTGCTTTCTTTTTCAATGCAGAGCATTGGCTGTGTTCATATTCCTGCACTTCCTTTTTTAAAAAAGGCATTTTTTTAGTCTAATAAGTCCTTCAACCTATTATTCAAACTGTTTTGTGAGTTTAATTATAAATGTATATCTGGTATTAACCCCCCCTAAATCAATGTAAGAGCCACACCTCTTTCAAATTTCAATCGCTGGTATAACTGAAATTGATCAGCAGGTACCAACCTGGAGATCTGAAAGAAAGAAAGAAGACAAGATGTTAAGATGGAAGATGGGGGATTAACTAATCCGAAAAATGAGTCAAACGAGAATGTCTGTTGACATTTGCTTCCATTATTTCTCCCGTGGTCCGTAAGTTCAGAGAGGGGGAAAGAGAGAAAGCAATCACAACAAGGCTTCAATTTTGAATTCAAGATCATTTGGCAATTTAAGAGGGACACAAATGTTAAAAAGTAAACTGCCAAAACCAAAGCTGGTTAGTATTTACAAGAACTCAACTGCAAACAGTATTCTATTCTGCTAAAACAAATATGAGTAAGCTTAGAAATTTCGGGTACAATTCATCATACAACTGCCAGCATAGTTTGAAATGAATAATTAGTGGTGTTAACTTGTTGGGGCTGCTTTGGGCTATGCTGATCAGGCATCCACACTAAGTTTAGCATCAGTGGCAATGCAATGAAATGCTCAAAAATCACACACAAAAAACCCACCTTCCAATGAATTGTTTGTTTTTTGAATTGTTGTCATATCATCACTGAAAGCACTTTTGAACCCATTGTGATAAAACCTTTATTCAAATACCCAGATTTGACACAGAGTAAATTAGAATTAAGTTTCTCAAAATAAAAAGCACTTTCTTTGAATTTTACTGGCAAGTTTACAGTCTCTTGCCACTACTATATAGATTCACACCACTCAGTACATCCAGGACAATCTCAGGTTTGCAGTGTTCATCATTCAATTGCACAAACTTTGAATTCACAAGCAACTTTGATAATATTGGACCAATACCAATAAAAATAGACTACAGGGAGAACAGGAAACAAAACAAAATGAAAATAAATAATATGAAGACAGTATGACTCACTAGATCATGGGATAATAAACTGAACATGAACCAATGATATGATGCTGTAGCAGAAAAAGTTGAAGTTTATATTACTTAATAAGTTTGTGTTGATATTTTTAAATTATTTGGAAAGTACTTGTACCATTGTATTTAATTCCAGATAGCCGGTCTAGCTCATATTTCAAATGCTGAATGATGTTTCAGAAGACAATTCACAAAAAGATGCCAATAAGAAGTTCAGGAAAGGTTTACAACAATGATTTTTTTAATAAAGAAAAATTACAAGAACAGATTAGGCTACAGGGAAATTTGCACTTTTCAAATAATTAAAGAGGATGTTAAAAAAAAAGGAAAGAAACATATGCCAGGCATTCTTTATGAATAACCATGTTCTACATATTGACCTAAAAGAGCACCTTCCCCAATATACTGTAAACCATCTCAGACCCTACAAACGGCATGTGAGACCATGTTGGTGGTGCCACCTTCAAGGACTAGCTGGTTGGTGTTGTCTCATGCCAGGGCCTGTTTAGTGGTGGTTCTCCATTTGTGGAATGCCCTCCCTGGTGAAATGTGCCTTTCTCAATCATTAATGAAAACATACCTGTTCATCCAGGCGTCTGATAAATGGACATTGTTCCTGGCAACCCTGAGATCATTGAATTGAGAGCGTGTTTTTATAATGTGTTTAACTGCAACTGTTTTTAGAACACCTTTCTTTTTTTAAAAAAGAGATGTGTTTGCCACCCCAGGCTCCTTCAAGAGGAAGCAAAGGATATAAATTCAATAAATAAATAAATAGTTGTGGAATGTCTGTAGGATCTCTCCCGTATCTAAGGTACTAGGTTTATGGCTGAACAGCCATAGAAGAACAGCATGCACCAAAGAGACCTATTTTTTCTCCTCTTGTCCTAAGATGAACCCGAATGTTTCTTTTTAGGAAATTGATTAGCTCATAACTGCTAGATACACTGAATTAAGCAGAGAATTTTGGCACATCATAAATCACTGCAATGGAGGGTTACAGATTGCTGTAAGGCAGCAGGATAAACAACACTGATCCAATCCTGTTTGCTGCTCATAACCCTGTGTGCCAGAAACACAACCACCCAGATCCCTATGTCAATGATGCCACCGCCAGGTCTTGGAGATGGAAATAAACCAAGAGCAGTCACCAAAAACTACTAGATCGTCAGATCCAGACATGTTGTCTTCAAACCCTTGACTCAGTCAAGATGGTGGTGGAACAGTCACTCTTTCTCAGGTCATTCTATCTTTCATTAATTTGTCAGATACAACATGATAACTGTCAAAAATGAACTGGGGAAGGAGAAGCAATGAAAGGTGTGGGTGGCTTTCTACTAGCTCAATTACTAGTGCATATCATTGCAGCTGAAAAATATAGCATATGAAAAGCCAAACTATTAAAATAACCTTAATAACTCAAAAATGCAAAAGGAGTCCCAAGAAATCCCTTGTGTGGTCAGCAGTAGGGATGGATGAATCTGCCAATTTCAGTTTTCCCTTTTTTTCTAGTCTTTTTCCACATCCGTTTGCATTTAAAAAAAATAAAATAATGAAAATTCACCAGCATTTTAGTGCTGATCACTTCTAACATAAATATTTGTATGCCATTTCGCCTAATAGATACAGTTTTGCAAAGCAACTTTTTGTAATATAATGCATTTTATGTTATTTTGCTAATCTATGGATTTTTATGCACACTTTTGCCCCAGTACATGCATTTTGGCATGCACTGCTTGGCTGCAGAACTGCATTGCAAAATTTGGTGCAGTACAAATGCACTGAATTGGCTCTGCTGGTGCATTTGCACTGCGCTGAGTTCTCAGACAGAAAAACAATGACAAACCTAGACAGCATCTTAAAAAGCAAAGACATCACCTTGCCAACAAAGGTCTGTATAGTTAAAGCTATTGTTTTCCCAGTAGTGATGTATGGAAGTGAGAGCTGGACCATAAAGAAGGCTGATCGCTGAAGAATTGATGCTTTTGAATTATGGTGCTGGAGGAGACTCTTGAGAGTCCCATGGACTGCAAGAAGATCAAACCTATCCATTCTGAAGGAAATCAGCCCTGAGTGCTCACTGGAAGGGCAGATCGTGAAGCTGAGGCTCCAGTACTTTGGCCACCTCGTGAGAAGAGAAGACTCCGTGGAAAAGACCCTGATGTTGGGAAAGATGGAGGGCACAAGTAGAAGGGGACAACAGAGGACGAGATGGTTGGATAGTGTTCTTGAAGCTACCAGCATGAGTTTGACCAAACTGCGGGAGGCAGTGGAAGACAGGAGTGCCTGGCGTGCTCTGCTCCTTGGGGTCACGAAGAGTCGGACATGACTAAACAACTAAACAACAACAGAGTTCTCAGACACCTTCCCCCTCTCCCTCTTGATAAGCAACAGTGACCCATGTGAAGGGAAGCCAGTACAGCAGCTCTGCTGCAGAAGAACACAAGCAAAGTGTTATCAACATATTATCAACATATACAGAAGCTTGCAGTTCCACACCTGGGACACAGCCACAAAGAAAGCCTTCTCACATGTTACTCTTAATGCAGCTCAGAAAGAGTCTTCCTGCTCCATTAACCTATTCAGCTACTAATACAGATAAGTTAGCTTATCGATACCTGCTTTCTGGGTGTACTCTAATAGCGTACATTGTATGACAAACAGAACTGTCTTACAAAAGCTAGTAAATGTTAGCTAGTAAATGTTCTGGGACAAAAATAGTACCATGCATTTTTTATTGCAGCATGTTTAAAACAATAATTTCTCAAGTCTTTTTAGCTTGTCATGTATATATATGGTCTATGGATAATTCACCTAGTCCATGCTGTAGATATTTAAGTGCCAGTAATGTTGCATACCACATAATGGAAGATGGTTTCAGGGAACACATTTCTATAAATCAAGAACACAGATTTAATTTATATTCCCTCCAATATCCCCACTACTTTTGGCTTCCATAGCATGTCACATTATTACCGCCCCTATTCTAACAAAAGCCTGTGCATTATATCCATCATAAAATATTCATTTGTTCCATTAAGGAACTCCCTTGCCACTTAGAACAAGTCTTTATGGGTTTTTATTAAAAACAGCAATGTATGCGGAGAGAAATGAAATGATTATATATTCAAAAGTAAACATATTTGGCCAATGTTCAAAAAAACAAAACAAACAAATCCCGAACATTTAATGGAATTTAGAAGGACTACCATGCGAGAGACTGTTGTGTTGACAAGAAAGCATGAACCACAACTTTATAGTTTCAAATTTAATTTGTGAAATGCACTCTGAAACACAAACACTTATAGACTACCTCCTCCTATAAAACAATTTATTTGATTCCAAAGATTCCATTTGTGGCTCTTTGATGCCATCTACGAATCACTATGCAACTCACTCCAATGGCAAATTGTGGCCAAGGCTGAACATCTTTTTGAAACATGCTGAATGAGGCCACCTTCTTGGACTGACCTTTAGGACTCAGTGTTAAGTCAGGATAGAAAGATGGGGTGAAATAAACAGATTTAATTACATTTTTACTCTGTTAAGAGACAGTGGCTTGTTTGCGCCCACATTTTCTTTTTCTTTTTTTACAGGATGGGAACTTGCTTCCATTACTGACATGCAGTTATGTTTATATATATATATACACACCAAACTAAGCAAATCCTCAGTGCACAGGGTGATCCTATGCGCGCGCACACACACATGAATATGTGATCCTTTTTACAAACAGCAGATAAATTAATTTGATTCTTCAAGTATCTCCTCCATACATGCACAGTGTACAGAACATTTTCTACATCCCGTCATTCTCCTCCTGAAGTTGCCTAGACAACCTTGTTTGCCATGAATAAGGTTAGCTTCATTTCAATTACAGATTCCTCCCAGGCAAGGAATCAATATGCCTCATAACGGTATATCTTCAGACAGAGCAAATGTCAGGAAATCATCTTGGCAAACAACAGCAAAGAGATTTTGTCAGATTCTCAGCCTCACATCAAGCCTCCGTCATACAATGTCATGATCTTCTTAGATTAGAACTGGTTACAACATCAGCATCAGAGTAAGCTACAAGTTTCTCACCCTTGGTTTAAGGGGATAAGTAAGGGTGTGCTCACCAAAACTCACCATTAGGAGGCCTTAAGGAGTTGAGCACATTGGTCAGTTGCCAATCAGGAACTGTCAATAGCCACACACCAAGGTTGCTGGTTATACCTGCTATCTGTAGGTAGGCTATTAGTAACATAGCTATGTCCTTGTATGTAATAGAACCTTTGGCCCTTTTAAGTGAGACTTGTTTGGGACTCCCATTCTTTATTGCCAATCTATTCTGGCACAGATAGTGGGTGCTTACCACTGGTAACAGATTCATGATGGGAAAACAAGTGATGAGCCCAGAAATTCCAATGATTTTCAGTACACTTATGAGTTTGTATTCACCATAGCCCAGCAAATAGCCCAACAATAGAAACAGCCTAAAAGGATATACATATCTCACTTTTAAGTTAATATCAGGACTCAGTCTGGAACAATATATGCCAAAAATCATTCGCTAGCTCCCGGTAGGAGGTGGAAGCCTGACCCAGACTATTAAGGTCATGGTTCTGGTTTGTTTTTTTAATGTAGTCAAGGAAAGATTAGCATGGAAATGTGATCAGAACTCTGTTGGCGAAGCAATAGGCAGCAGTAGGAAGGGCTGTGAAGCTGCCCTATATGTTAATCAAGAGAGGCATCAGGTTGTTAAAACTTTAATGCAATTAAGATCACTTCTTGTCCTTGCTCCTATTCTGTTCAGGAGATATTATTCCTTATGGGCTCAGTGAAAATCATAAATATATAATGAATAATCACCCTGAACAGAATTTAGTGCATTCCATCATTCATGGACCATTAAATACATTCTTCGTTGTTTATTCATTCAATTCTTTGCCCCTCAGAGTACAGAGGAAAACATTAATGGCCCATTAATGCATACCCTCATGTGCCCTCTTGCTTAGCTAATTGAAATGGATCTTTAGATTTCAGAAGCTTTATGAACACTATCATATTCCAGTGTTGCTTTGTGTTTTCCATGCAAACTTTGAAGTCACACACTCAAGCTTAAAGTGAAAGCTTATGAATAATCCAGGCTCATGTTATCCGAGCAAAAGACCAAGTGGCCTTACCCACACGTATTTGCCAATTACGAAATCCGTGTTGAATACCTGACTCGCACCATTTTCAAATGTAGCCTTAAAAATCATATGAATCTTGAGGGAAATCGCAGGTCCCTCTCTTGTGTGGCATACATTCTGGTGAATTAAGTGCTTTCATAGATGTGGTGAAAAATGTGAGGTGACCACCACTGGAAAGAGTTCATGGTTGTACCTGTGGTAAAGTGGTCACATGATAGTTTCACCAAGAACACTTGCTCAACAGACTCTGGCAGTGTTGCAGCTGTGCATGTTAGTTGTAGTTCACCTTACAAGTTGCTGTTGTGGCAAATGTTCCTTCTAGCATTAAGGAGGAAGCGCTGGGATGTCGTGGTGGGAGGCACAGATGGAGAAAGGGGTGGACAGAGAGGAAGGGCAGGGAAGGTAAAGGAGCAGACTGCAAAATGCTTGAAGACATTACGTGAACAGGGATCATGGAGTCTAGTCTACAAAAGCTTTGGCTATAATAAGTTTGGTAGTTAAGGTACACCAATGCTCATGTTTTCACCTCTAATTTCACCTGCTGTTTGTCCAGCCTTTCTTCAGAAATCTTGTCAATATAAAATAAGTAGCTTGTGTCCCAACCAACACACACACACAACCGTTATATGTATACATAAGTACCATCACTTCTCCTGAAAATGATTACCTTCTAATTTCTATTCACACTTGCCCCCAGTTCACAATTTAAGCAGCAAGCGACATGTGTAAAACTCTCTACGATTTGTGTTTTACAACCTGGAATGCCATACATATTCCAACATTCATTTTCTAAAGGAGGGCTGGTGACATTCAGATTGGGGATGTTCTGGCTTTTAAGCAGACAATTTTGAGACCGCCTGGATGCCAAGTAAACATTTCCCCAGGAAAGGAAAAACAAGAAGAAAACCATCTGCTTGTTTCTAGTTTCTCCTGTCAAGTGGGCCTCCTGCCAAGTAGTCATTAGAGTAATTAAGGGGAGGAAACATTCTAATGTATTCATTATGTAAATGAACAAAGAATATTAGAAAGAAAAAGAAGTGACAAATGGAGATACCTCAGTTTCTTGCACAGTCCCATGGTTGAGGCACATCATGTCTGGACAAGTGATGGGAGAACCACACCCCTCACGAATAGCCAGCTGCATATACTGTTTCAGGCACTAAAAGAAGAAGAAAGGGGAGAAAACGTAAGTTACAAACTGTATCTTAACTAACAGTATACCTTCACTTCTTTAATTGGCTGTCTTTGAGCTTCAGTACTCCAAGAACTGCGATTGCGATTGCAAAGCAAAGATTAAACAACTGACTACAAAAACCTTCATTGTGTCCCAGAAGCACACAGGCTCAGAGTCAGCAACCAGGCGCAACAAACGTACATGAGACTAGCGTGTGGGTCAAAACTGACTGCAACTTTATTGGTTACAGATATATCAGAGTTTGGCATCGCATAGAGCAAGGATCTTTGGACAGAAAGTCTTGCTGTCTGATACCAGGCCCAGCCTGCCCGCTGGACCTACTCCCAGGAAGCAGCTGCCAGACTCTTGATACCAGTGCCGTGAGCATGCAACAGCCTGCCCCAGTCCCCCAAGCTAGAACCTAAACATTCAGGTGCCACCCCAAGACCCCTTATGGGGATTGCCTCGCTATCTATTGATCCTGCCCTATGCTCTCCCTGGCCACAAATGAACAAATGAAATCAAATCATGTACCCCTGACATGAGGAAGGGGAAAAACCTGACCGCCAAAGGCCAATTGTGATGTACAATCCTTCTCAGTCCTGTTAACCAGCGACCAATGGGAGTTCACAGCGGGAGCCATTGGCCGGCAAGAACCATTAAAGCTAAGGGAGTGGCAGGAGGGGAGAGACCACACTGGCAATGCACTGCCAACATTGCAGACTGTGTGGTCTTACAATAGGCCAGCTGCAGACCAGGGAAGAAGTGTTCCCTTTCAAGCGCTTGTCCGGTCCACACTCATCAGGACTCTGAATCAGGGGCGTAGCGTGGGGGGTGCCAGGAGGGCCGTGTCCCCATGCATACAATTTTTGAGGGGGAATGAACTAGGTTCCCCAAGCAGGCAGCTGCAGCATGGCCCGGCCCGGTATTCCTCTCCACACGCCAAGGGCCGTATCAGCCGGGCAGGTGGCTCGGCGAGCCCCCGTTTTAATCCGGTGGGAGTGGGGTTGTTTCATTGACTTCTTCCTTCATACAAGCTCAGTTTCTCCTCAGACAAAGGGAATGGAAATAGCAAATTAGAAGGTGGAGTCAAAATTGCACAACGTGAATTGACCCACCACATGGAAATGCCCACAACTAGGGGCAGGAAGCAGCAGTTTTGTAAACTAAAATACAAACACAAATGCGGACGTGTGTTCTAAGATCAAATTCAAATGGGGAACAGTGGATCTGGAGCAAGATGTCTGCTCACCTGTGGATGAGCCCCTGAAAAGTGCTTAACCCTTTCCTTGCTAGCTGTTTTCTGTCCAGAAATCCACCCCACTCTCCAAGCTGTGTTTTCTTTGGTGGGGTTCCAAGTTCACGTTTACACGAATTATTATGCATCTGGAATGCTACAAGCAGGAAGGGAAAGCAATTGGGCAGCTACTTAAGAGTGTGAAGAATGGCTGTCAAGGAAAGAGTTAAGACACATATTGTTGCCACTTCTGTTCAAAATTTCATTACAGCAAGCCTTGGGAATTCACGTGTGTGTAACTCTATAGTTTGCCAGTCAATAAGTTTGTTCTGATCTCACGTTGCTAGGTAATGGCTCAACGAAGCACTTGTGCTCCTCTCACTGCAAGGCCACGCCATTATTCAAGACCACTTGTGGATAATCTCTCCCCACATCCACAAGCAAAGGAAGCTGATCACAGCACAGCACATGGCTTTTCCCAAAGACGCCCAGCCCTCCTTATTCAACACATTCCATTTCACCTTCTCTACTTCAATACTTTAAAAGGTTTCCAGCTGACTAATTGCAACCCTTATTATTTGGAAAGCAAATGACTAAACGAAAAATATGACCAATTTTAGATTTTAACCAGGAAAGGCAGAGGGAGTTTGAGTAAAACATAGGCCAAGAATAGAAAATCAATACATACTATAAACAAATATCCTAGGGTGTCTAGTGTTATATGTTACAAAAGCACATTATTGTAATCCAAAGTACATTATTTTAAATCAAAGTCAATCAAGCTGATATTTGCATATTTGACAGAAGGGATCTTCTGATAACCAGAACTTGAAACAAGAATTTTGATCCCACCTGCAAACTTCATCTTCCAGCTTAGCCAAAAACACTCCAGCGGTGTGAGATTCCAGGAGTACCAGACACATTTTAAACCAGCGTCTGTGTTTCCTCTGAGACAATAAGACAACAGAGACTGTGGTGTCTTTATGCTATATGGTTTATTTACACATGTATACAACTTTAAGCGTACAATGGAGGGGTCCACAGCATTCTTGCCAAATAGATTCTGTCCCTCTCATACACATAGCATTGCTTCCAAGAACAGACAACAGCATCTCTCTCTCCAGCACACTGCTTACTAACCCCCAGATTCATATCAGTATTCATTATGCTAAATATAATTCTGTAAAATGGTGGTTATAAATACATAGCGTATGCACAGGGAGTTGTGAGGTGACCAGGAGTCACTGGTCTGATTTGTAGGCAATTCTAAAGCATGTTTTAGCACTATATGGATGTCAGCAAGCATGTGCAATGGCTACTTCACTCCCACTTGCAGTCGGGAAGAGCCTTCTGTCAAATTTACTTTTGTTTCAAAGCCTCTGGGCTTACAACAAGCTATGGTTAGTTGCTAAACAAGCGAACTTCAAACCCTGGGTTGTGAAATTTACATGTTTAGCAACTAACCATTGTAAAAAGGATTCCCAACTCATTTGTAAACAAGGCGAAGTGAAGATGTGATGCTAAGCAGAGATTATTTTAAACTGCAAGGGAACTCAGCAAAAGACCTCTCAGGTACATGCACTTCACTGAACTATCACACTTTAAAGGCTAAAAAAGGATGCCCTCCCCTGCTTGACTGAGTATCGACTGACAGTTCAGAGGCCACACCCTCTATTTTTCAAATGATTTTTCATCACTAGGTCCTTCATTGGTAGACTGTACATGGAAAGACCTCAAGGAGCTTTTCTTCCTTCTTATAGCCTAATAGCCCCACTCCTACAGAGATGGCATGAAAGGCCAAGAATAATTTGCTTGTGAACACACACAAGTTAATTAAAGATAGCTATCTAGTTAAGTAACAATTAAATTAACTTCTTGAAGCACACTAGTGCAAAATTCCATCATATTTTTTTAAAGTCTTGAAAATACACCTTTCCATGAGGCCATAAACACTAGTATGCTCTTGTGCCAGCATGTAACGGGTGTGCTCCTTATACTTGTTACTAATGCACATTTCCAAGTTATAAAGTCATATTACAGATGAGAGGTTTTATTTTTAAAAACAAAATCTAAGCTCAAGCTACCCAAATGTGGCAATTGACTACCTGTAACAAAGTGAGGGGGGTGGGGGAAAGAATTTGGGATAAGCCTTATTTAAAATCACTGAAGCAGTATGACAGTGTGTTTGTGCCATTACGGCTTTGAGCTGCACATGGTTTCCCGACACAGGGAAACATTATGCATCCATGCAGACTTGTAATCTGTAACAAAGTAATGCAAGCATATTGCACTATGATTATACATGAGCATACAGTGTATAGTTATTGGTGTGGACCAGGATTTTTCATTTGAAAAGCCACAATGTAAGCACAGGTAGAAACATAGCAAGTTCCTTGCAGATAGTTATGTTTCCTCGGACTAGTTTCTCTCTCCCCCTCACCCCTCAGTCTTGTTGCTATCTTCAGGACAAAAGAGTGGTTTCTAAGGAAACAACTTATCAGCCAAGTCCTCAAGGCTAACCTGAAAGCTCTTTGAACAAACAATAGTCGGAACATGGAGCATAGCTC